CCTCGCTGCTGGAATCAGCTTCCAGAAATGATCAGATGTGCTCCAACATTAGGAATGTTCAAATCAAGACTGAAAACACATCTGTTTAGCTGTGCCTTTACTGTAGGAGCACTGTGTTACGTCCGACAGATTGCACTATTATGTTTTTTCGTTTTCTTTTTTATTCTTTTATAACCTATTTTAACACATTTTAAATTGTTTTTATCTGTTTTTAATCATTTTTATAGTCTGCATTTTATGTCCTAAACTTGTCTTTTTATTTTTATTATTTGCCTGTTTATGTAAAGCACTTTGAACTGCCACCGTGTATGAAATGTGCTATATAAATTAACTTGCCTTGACTTGCCTAAATTTGACTGAATAGTAAACTTTAAGAATTATTTTTGTGTTAATATAAGATTTTTTCTATCAGACAATATCTTTTCTGTTCTCCACTATAAAAGTTATTACATTATTATTATTATTATTATTATCATCATTATATTTTAGAAGGGATTATTTTATTGTTTTATGATGATTGATAAGTAAATATAAATAGCAGTGCAAATTAATTTGACTTGTAAATTTAACTTAATAATATAGATATTACATGTTTTATGCATATACTGCTACTATAAATAATGTTTTTTTTTTTTGAGGAATTTGACATGTGGCCTTTACTTGGTTTGAAAAACTTGATGTGGCCCTCGGGTCTAAAAAGTTTGCCCACCACTAGTATAGACCTTTTTCTTAGAACTCAAAATTACCCATTATGCTTTGCGTGCATGCGCAAGGAGAATGCTAAGAACCTCCGGTCGTTTATACCTGATGGGTATAAACAGTCACATTTGGACAGCTTTGAAATAGTTTAATCTATTTTACCTGCTTTTATCATCTTTGAACTAATACTCTTGTCGATCAGCGCCACCTCCTGGACTGATTATTTTTAAAAATGCGATTAATGGGATGGAAAACAGCTGCTGTGAGGCATTTTCTCCTCGTTGTCAGACAGCATTTTCCCCTCGCTGTCAGACGGCATCTAATGCCGTTTAAATCCATTACACCATTACGCTATTGAAACCCATTTTTGGAGCGATTGTATCCGCTGTAAACGGAAGTTCTAACCATTCTACCGGAGAACGCTGATCGCTATGACGCCCTCCATGCAGCAGCCAAGAAAAAGGTCTATTGGCTGACGTGTACTTGCAAAGTTTGAAATATTGTGGAGAAATATTAGCAGAAACTGTTAGAAACTAAGCTGACAGTCTACTAATAATGTAATGATAATCAGTGTGTAGTTGCAATGTAACTTATATTATAAAATAATTAGCAAAATGTGCGCCAAAATAAAGTAATACCAATATTTTTTTCAAAGGAATTGTTGCACTCTTCATAAATGAATTGGACGTGCTGTTTTGCTTTAGTGTTTTTTTTTTAAGTCCAGAAAAAAATCCTTAAAAAACAAAAACAATATTTGGAAAAAGAAAGTACACAAGCATATAAATAAAACAAATAATGTGCACAAATAAAATGCATTAAACATAGCAATATTCCATTTAAAAAAGAAGAACTGCTAGTTTTGATTTGACGATGACTTCAGGTACAAAAGGACAAAGCGATATCTGAAAGGGCACGACAGCCTAATAAAGCGACTGTATGTAAACACACAAACACCCACAGGCTTTCAGAAACGGAATGAATCACAGACTCTGGCGTTACTCAGTTTCATTGACACTCTTGGAATGTGGTCTGCTTGGAAGAGGTGCACACACACATACCTGCCAGTCACACTCATTAGTTAACAAGTCAAGGCGGAGTTGGAAATCTCCATATTACGCACACACAAAAAAAGAAAGCAGTGACACCTTGTTTTTTTTTTTTTCTCTCTGGAATGTGGCCTGATACTGATCTACTGTACATTCGTCTACTGATTTGCCCCCAGATACACGCGATCCAGTACCTCAGGATAGAAAGTAACCAATAACTTAGCAGACCTTGTGGCATACCCTAAAGTACATTACTGAATGTACTTCTATGGATTGGAACTAGGATTATGACGGTATCATAGTATCTTAAGATAACCGAGATAAGCTTTTATCATGGTATTCATTATCCCAATATTGGGATAAGCAAAACGAAAAGAAATCAACATTTGTTTTACTGAGTGGCGTGCGTACATTTTCAGAGTAAAACAAATATTTTAAAGAAATTAAGTTGCAAAATTATTATAAAATAAAGTAATATTTATTAAATATTTGTAATGAACGAATTAACTAACATCAGAGGAAAAAATTCAACTGAACTATATTAGATTAAAGCTCCATTAAATAGAACAGTTATTACTTTTGAAAGGGATTCACTGATTTTTTTTTCTAAACTATGATTTTTTTTTTCAATTCATTATGAATTTTTATTGTGAATGATTACTAACACATTTTTTGATTCATCATGTGGTTATTTTATGGGCTTTAATGGCTTACATTTTTTTAAGTCAAAATAATTTCAATTATTGAGTTACATTTAAAAAGAGCAGCAAAATAACTTTTACATTATTTAATAAAACAATTGTTATAAAGCATTTCTGTTTTCGGCCAAATCTTCAGTTTCACCCAGAGGTTTAATTTCTGCACCACTTTACTAACTATTAAGCTAATAAATATCAACATCCCTTAAGGTTAATAAATGTGGTCCAAATAATGTAGTTTAATTAATGTTAACAGAAAAAAAAAGCCTTATTCATCAAAAATGAAGTCATTTTTAAAAAGTGTTAACCGATCTATACAAAAAAAACTAACCTAACAAACAATATATCAAGCATTTCCTAAGCCTGATTCCCTTTTATTTTTTAATAAAGAGACTATTAAGCCTTCAAGCATTTGGTTTCATGATGAAAACCACTGCAAATTGAGCAATAACAATATTCTTAAAATGCATTATGTAAAACTGAAAGTTGTTTTAAAATTTGCATATTAGTTCAATGACATGGTCCATGTGTTGTTTACTGTGCAACTTTGAATATTGGATCTGAAAAGGCATGCAAGTCTAACTTCAAAACAACATTAGCACTATTAGATAGACAGTAAACAATAGGAATACTCCGATCAATTACTCGGCATTGTGATTAGCCGATACCATGTACCTATTCTTCTTTATATAACTTTGCCATTGCATAAGCACATTTTCCCTCATTGAGATCTTGCCTTATCTAAGAGAATGAACTAAGGATGTTGCAGACATGTAATAGTCAGAAGCAGCTTCACAAAAAAAATAGATAAAATAGACAGAAAAAAATAGTAAGAAAAATTACTGACAATGCAATTTGGAAACATTGTGCTTGTGTTGTAGCACTGTGGATGTACAGTTGAAGTCAGAATTATTAGCCCCCCTGAATTATTAGCCCCCCTGTTTACTTTTTCCCTAATTTCTGTTTAATGGAGAGAAGATTTCTTCAACATTTCTAAACATAATAGTTTTTAATAACTGAATTATTTTATCTTTGCCATGATGGCAGTAAATAATATTTGACTAGATATTTTTCAAGACACTTCTATACAGCTTAAAGTGACATGTAAAGGCTTAACTAGGTTAATTAGTTTAACTAGGCAGATTAGAGTAGTTAGACAAGTATTTGTATAATGATGGTTTGTTCAGTAGACTATCGAAAAAATATAGCTTAAAGGGGCTAATAATTTTGTCCTTAAAATGGTGTTAATTTCAAAACGGCTTTTATTCTTGCCGAAGTAAAACAAATAAAACTTTCTCCAGAAGAAAAACTAATATCAGACATACAGTAAAAATTCCCTTGCTCTGTTAACATTATTTGGGAAATATTCAAAAAAAAAAAATAAAATTCAATGGGGGAACTAATAATTCTGACTTCAACTGTACATATAACCAGGGTTGTAAACAAACAAGTTTATCAGTGATCAGTTCATAATATCAGCCTGATCAGCAAGTACCAATCCGGTCGTGAAATGTGATTATCGGCCGATAACGATCTTCGACCGACCGATTTATCGGAGTATACCTAGTAAACAACGTTGTATTTTTAAACTCATTAGCTGATAATATGATTTCCCTGCTTAGAATTGGCAAATAATACCTTTCTGAGTGTGTGATCTTAAAACCAACTTTACCCCCAATTTATGAGAGTTTTAAATTATTTATGGTATTGTATAAGCGCCAACGATAACATTATCGCACGTTTATTGTCAGATTGTATTTAATACATAGAATTCTTGAACATAAGCACACAGGAGTGAATGAAGGAGTTGCATTAGATTTTATCACTTGACAGTAGCTGTAACGTTGACAGTTTCACAATGTTATCGAGAAAAATCACTCAACATCTGCAAGCAAGTCACGCAATAAAGAAAGACGTTTCATATACATTACATGTTAGTGAATAACGTTAAACCCTCTAAAAAAATTAACACTAACTTAGACTGTACAACATAGGGAGACAAATTAAATTAAATTAACGTTACGAAGAAAGCGACAAAATCCAACTGTTTACTTTTTTAAGAGAAGGAGGGGAAATGACAGCTGAACAGCGCTCAAACTCAACACGTCCTGTTTGAACCTCTTGAACCTTTCAAAGTGAAAGTCAACGCTTGCCTGAAAATGTTTGGCTTACATTCATCCGACAATAATGTCAAAAACGCCAACAAATTCAGCAGTTGACACTCTCCCAAACGAGGGCTGTGTCCTAAAATCCAGAGAGCTTCATAGCTAAGTTAGACTGCATTTTTGGAGTGTTCTGGTTTAGAAAGACAATTAATTGGTTTTATTCCAGTGATCGCTTTTAACTGGAATGTGCTGTGTATGTCAGCAGTTCACGAGGTTTTACGAGCACAGACGAAGACTGAAAACATGCTAATAGGCTAAAGCTCCAGTCGCTAACTGACAAACTTACTGACGCTTTAGAGAGCTTTAGATCTGCTGAAAAGCATTGCATGACAACTTTCATTACTGGAAGAAAAGAGTCGAAAAGGTTACTTTGAAAGAAGTAAGTCGGGTACCTGTGATGATTGTTGGCTGTCCCTTCTCTCGGGCAGGGATTGATGTAGAGTTGATGATGCTGCTGCTGAAAGGCTGACACATACAGACGGAAGAGACCGATATGGGCGGATTGACTGACGTGTCTCTTGGCCAATTATATCACAGGATTTTCGTCGCCTGACGGTTTACGTCAGAGCAGGACCATTTGTGTTGCACAATTTATTTATGATGCAGTTTTTGTGTTCCTAAACTTACTAACACTTACTTTTAAATTAATGATGTGACTCAGCAAAAATATGGTTCATATATCCATTTTTAATTTTTATTTGAATTCAAAACGTATACAATTCTGAACAAAAAATGACTAAAAGTCTGTGTACTTTCCACAAGATCTTCAGTTATAGGCCTACATTTCATTTCAATCAGACAATATCTGCTGCTAATGCTACTCTAATTGTCAAAGCTGTAGAAAATGTAAGTTTTAATTTTATTTTTAATTATTAATCCCACCAAGGATGCCTTTTTAGCTGCAATTTAACACCGGGAAACACCCGTACACTTTCATTCACACACATAAACTATGGCCAATTTAGCTTATTCAATTCACTTGTACCGCATGTATTGTGGGGGACTGTGGTGGAAACCAGAGCACCAGGAGGAAACCCACACGAACACGGGGAGAATCTGCAAAAGAATGTGAAATCACTCATTCATTCATTCATTCATTCATTCATTCATTCATTCATTCATTCATTCATTCATTCATTCATTTATCCATTCATCCATTAATTCATTCATTAATTCATTAATTTTCTTTTTGGCTTAGTCCCTTTAGTAATCTGGGGTCACCACAGCGTAATGAACCGCCAACTTATCCAGTATATGTTTTTCACAGCGGATGCCCTTCTATCTGCAACCCAAAACTGGGAAACACACAAACACTCATTCACACACACACACACACTCATTCACTACGGTCAATTTTTAACATACCCAATTCACCTGTCACATGTCTTTGGAGTTGTGGGGAAACCGGAGCACCCGGAGGAAACCCACGCGAACACCTGGAGAACACGTGAACTCCACACAGAAACACCAACTGACCCAGCCGAGTCTCGAACAAGCAACCTTCTTGTTGTGAGGCGAACATGCTACCCACTGCGTCGCCGCATCGCTAGAGTGGGAAATTAAATTTGAAATAAAAATCTGTAATTTTATTCTACTATTACGTTTTCAACTGCCTTAAAAAGCTACATTTAAATAAAACATTAAAACAAAATAGATTTATTTTTTCATTTTACATTTATATTTTCATAAAATAAACAACAAATAAATATCAACATCTGCGGGATTTTAAACTGTGATTTCTATTTTACCTTTTTCACTTACATTAAATGATGGTATAAATGATAGACAACCTTTATGACGTAATAATTAAATAAACAGGTTCCATTTACACATTGATTTGTAAAGAAGCTAAAGAAAGAGGATAAAGAAAGAACTAAAGAAATGAGTAAAGAAAGTGTAAATAAGGAAAGCCACACAAACATTTCTTTATCACCCAGTGGGCTTTAAAGTGTTTTTCAGCAAATGATTACCTTCTGGTGAAAGCTTTATTCATTCATTCATTTTCTTTTTGGCTTAGTCCCTTAATTAATCTGGGGTCACCGCGTCAGCCTTGAAAGCTTTATGTGACTTTTTAATTTCATAAGATTCTTTTTACAGCATTGATGCTGTAATGTAATTCAAATACATCAGTTAAATAGACTTAAGCATCCATTGGGTTATTAAAGCGTAAAAAGAGACGAAAGACCATTTAGACAAGGGTGCCGTCATTAGCAACAGACTAGTGCAAGAATTCCATTGTAAAACTAATTTCCACATTTTAAAGATATGCCATGGAAAAATATAACTTAGCTTCTTGTTTGGTCTGATACTCACTTTATATCATATCTAGAACAGTGAAGATGCTGTTTTTTTTTTTTAAAGAAATTAGATCTTAAACTTTTTAGATCTTAAATTTTGTATATGAAAACAATTAACTGGAAGCCCTGGGGCAAGCTGACTGAAATTGAAAGTCTCTGTGCATATACCCCATTAGAAGTAAAAGTCTCAGTGTCTTTAACCAGTTGTTAATAAGCATATTTAAGTTTACATGACAGCCAAGCCGAAGATGCCATTTGTGCTTGAGAAAACAACATTGAAAATACATTAAAAATATATACAGTTGAAGTCAGAATTATTAGCCCCCTGCAAATTTTTTTCTTCTTTTTAAAATATTTTCCAAATGATGTTTAACAGAGCAAGGAAATTTTCACAGTATGTCTGATAATATTTTTTTCTTATAGAAAAGGTCTTATTTGTTTTGTTTCAGCTAGAATAAATGCAGTTTTTAATTTTTTAAAAGCCATTTTAGTTACAAATTATTAGCCTCTTTAAGCTATATTTCTTTCGAAAGTCTACAGAAGAAACCACTGTTATACAATAACTTGCCTAATTACCCTAACCTGCCTATAACCTAATTAACCTAGTTAAGCTCTTAAAATATCACTTTAAGCTGTATAGAAGTGTCTTAAAGATATCAAGTAAAATATTATTTACTGTCATTATGACAAAGATAAAAGATTAATTATTATTAAATAATTAAATAATATTAAATATTCATTCATTCTCCTGTCGGCTTAGTCCCTTTATTAATCCGGGGTTGCCACAGCGGAATAAACTGCCAACTTATCCAGCACGTTTTTACGTAGCGGATGCCCTTCCAGCCGCAACCCATCTCTGGGAAACATCCACACACACACACACACACACACACACACACACACTACGGACAATTTTGCCTACCCAATTCACCTGTACCACATGTCTTTGGACTGTGGGGGAAACTGGAACACCCGGAGGAAACCCACATGAACGCAGGGAGAACATGCAAACTCCACACAGAAACGCAGAGGCTCGAACCAGCGACCTTCTTGATGTGACTACCTACTGCGCCACTGCATCGCCATATTAAATATTATCAAATAATAATAAACAGATGTGGATTGTTGGCACCCTTCAATATTGTCCAGGCCATTAGCTTGTTTGTTTTGTAACTCAAAAGCAATTTCTAATTTTCAATATTAGCTCAATGTTTTCATATTTCAGTAATTATTGATTAATCATGACTTTTTCAGCTTCAGGTTTTCAATGGCCACCGTAGTTTCTCTTTCTTCAGTAAAACAGTATACACATTTTAAGAACTGAGTTGCAGCTGGAAGGGTAGTTGACGGATCATTCTGCTGTGGTGACCTCTGAAATAGAAACTAAGCTGAAGGAAATTGAATGAATGTGACTTTATTAAACCGATCAGCACAACCTTTCTTATAAGGTGACAGTTTGTTCTGTAAACCAACTGTCGTGTTTTAATTTGATCTTAAAACTTAATCCAAGTACGTTGTACTGCTCAGTCATCACTAGGTCACACCAACATTATAAGTATCCAACAAAAATGATTGTGTAATGAAGAGCTTGTGCATTATTAATACAAATTTGGTTAATTTCATTAATAATGGAGGCAGGAATCACTGATATACTCCACTGTTTCACCAATCTAAATCTGTTAACATTTAATACTATTGGATTTAATCCGTTAAAAGATACAAATATGGTATAAATAAATAAACAAATATCTGTGGAAAAAAGCCAGATCAAATTAGGTCATTCTAAGAGATTGGTTTACTCAAAATTGACCCAGCTCCTTACTCCGCACAACAAATAAATGAATAAGAAGCATTTAAAACACGTTGGATTTATTGATATTATTAAATAAATCTTGTTCTTGTTTGTTTCATTTATGTTTAACTAGCAAATATCAGTCAAGCTTATTAATTTAATGATGTTAAAAGTAATGTGATCCAAATCTATTGAAATGTTATATGCATAAATCTTATTTGTCATGCCTAAATATTTTTTTGAGTGTACCTGCTTTATAGCATTTTTATTTTTATTTTTTTTAATGTGTTCGTTGGAAACCACCTCTGATGCTGATGAAAAGAGAGACCCCGGGACGGCTGAAAATGAAGTTATGTTGACATTTTGGCCAAAATACACAGTATGATGCAACTGCTATCAAGCTATTAGATAAATTTGGGCTGTCTAAAGCCTAAAGCCTCGTATTCATTCATCCAGAACAGACCAGCCAACAAGCTGTCAGGAATAAAAACCTAGTGGTAGGAGCTAATTATAAACCTTTTATCAAAAAACATCAAGACTGGGTGTGTATTCTCACCTACTAATGACATATCACCAACTTGTTCCCCCCAGAATTTTGATGCATTATGCTGTCTGTATAGGGAAGGAAGACTATAAGTTCTAAAAGGTTTAAATGTCAAACTTTTATGTCATGTGTGTTTACAGCTATGATAACTAAAAAGACTGTACATTTCCATTTACATTTTACACAGTAATCTTGTCTTGTTTCTATAGTTAACAACTTTTTTTTAACTTTATTTAATTGTAATATGAATTGTATTTTACTGTAGGACAGTTTTGCAGTATTTAACCGTATTTTAAAGTTGCATTGTAAAAACTACAGTATTTACAGCTAAGATACTCAAACAATTCTGTAAATATATATATACAGCATGATAAATGGTGGTGTACATGTAAATACAGTATTTCTGCTGTAAATGATTTACAGTAAGTTACTGTAGATTCTACAGGAAATCTCTAACAGTGTCCGATTGTTAAATGCAACATCAAGCGAAGCAGCTTCTGGATCCAACATATCAAACTGTACGGGGAGACTCATCAAATGGTAAAAATAAACGTTTACAAAGCGATGCAATACGTTCAAAAATTACAATCTCAATATATATGTTCATGCCTAATATGTGCTTGCCAGAAAGTGATTCATGTTCTATAAATTTTGATATTTTTGATGCAGCAGGCCAAGAGACTGTTGTGTACACTGTGGTTTTATATAGAATTCTCTTCAATGTGTGGTAGGACTACTAGAAAGTGTTCATAAACTAATATTTTCTCAATTCAAAAGAGTATCGGCTCGGAACTAGAAACAGTTTTCCATGCATCACTGATACGTCATCATGACTTAACAAGTGGGTTCTTAAATCAAGAAGCATTCTCTAGACA